TGAGTACACAATTTATTGAAAAATGTAGCGAATTAGTACATAAATTAAAAAAAATATTCTGACAAACAGCAGGCACTTATTCTCAAAATTATAAACAAAAAATATAAAAGTAAATAAATTATATAACAACAATTCAATTAAACAAAATATTAAAAAATATAACAAATAAGACAAAAATAAAAAGTAAGCAAAAAAAGGAAATTAAATTAAAATAAATACATACAAAATAAAAGAATAAAAATAAAAATAAAATATAATAAAATAAAATATTATAAAATCAGAAAATAAACTAAACTAAAATTAAATAAAAAAAATTAAAAAAAAATAAAACTAAATTAAATAGAATAAAGTAAAATAAAAAAATTAAACAAAATAAAATAAAATAAAAAAATTAAACAAAATAAAATAAAATAAAAAAATTAAACAAAACAAAATAAAATAAAAAAATAAAAAAAAATGAAATAAAATAAAATAAAATAAAATAAAATAAAATCGGTGGAGTGCGCGTCATAGCACCCTCACCGATTTTCGACGAACATCTATGTAACGGATGATTTCGGTAGAGTTTCTTTTTTCAATAGCATATTTTTGAAAGATGACAGTGAGTCGTGTCAATCTGTTATGTTAATTTTTTTCAGTATCGTTTGGCATTTCTCTTCTGTAAAGAGGGGATTCCGCTCAATTTGTGGCCAACATAATTGGCAACTGAGACTTCTGAGACCCAGCATTCATTATTGAAAATTTTTTGACCGAATATGTCACGTCCTGCAGGCAGTGAAGAAAATATAACGGGCGTAGCTGAGAGTGTGAATGAAAACCGTGGAGAATCTCGTCATCTCTGGGAAATTTGGTTTCAACAACACGGCAACCCTTCCCACTCAACGCAACACTCAATGGGTTTATTAAGAGAACACCACCTAGACCTTTACCTGTAGGGTTATGTAAAGTCAAGGTCTATGCAGATAATCCCGCTTCGAATCAGGCCTTGGAGTAAAACATCACGCGTGTCATTCGAAAAGTGGACCCAACGAATGGACTATCTGAGGCGTAGCCTCGGCGAATATTTGGAAGAGGCAATCTATAAAAATTTAATGCCAAAGAATGTTCTTTCGAATGGTAAGTATAATCCCCCATTAAATTTGAATTTCCTTTTTTTTCTCTTTAAAAAGTTAGGGAATCTCGAAATGGTTCACCCTTCAGATATAGGCACTACAGCGCTAAACTTCTTCAATGCTTTTTAAGTGTGTTATTGTCTATTGTTTTTATTTTTGTTTCAGTATTTGTGTGCGGATGAATGCTTCTTAACTTAAAATTTGCTTAATAAGCTTTTATTTACAAGTGGCCAACAACGTACTAAACATAACAATGAAAGCGCGGAAGTAGACAAGAAACAACGGTTTTGACTGAATGTTTGGCAAAATGTTTCAGTGTGGGTAAAAATATTTTTCTCTTACCAAAAACATTTTTAAGCTTTGTTTTGAGCCATAAGCTCAATCCCTGATAGGTTTTTTTAGGGATTTCGACATATGAAAATCAAAGTGAGGGAAGTAGGGGTAAGAAATACATTTTCTTGAAAAAAATTTCTTAATTTTATAGTGTTGAGCACAGCCCCATTATATTTTTCGCTTATATAGTATTGCCTGATTTAAATTATATATATATAAAAGCATAATAAAACATTTCAAGTACATAAAAAAAAAGTACAAAATTCAGAAAGGAAATGTTGCTCTTGCTTTTAAGACTTTTAAGACACACGTATATAAATATATTAAATATTTATGGTGCAGGTAGTGAAGACAACACTTTCAACGAGACAATAAACTAAACAAAAAATAATTTTTATTCAATTATTAAAAATTTTTCTGTTAGATTTAACTTCAAAAAACTCCAATATACCACTATATGTAGGTATGTACATTTGTATGCAAGTACATACTAGTATGCAAATTAATGTCTGCATATGTGTCCATAAATCCATATAAGTAAGCAAGATAATATGGTATGTATTAATGTACATTTCGAGGTAAATGGCGCGACAAGTTGTTGAGTTTCGAAATATTTGAATATACGAGAGTAAATAAAAATATGATATTCGCTCATATATGCAGGTTTATTTTTCAAACATTGTCTTTCATACCACTGCGCCAAATTTGGTGCATGCGCCCACGGGCAACTGCCATTCCATATGTGGTAAAAACATATTTTTTGTTTGTTTTGTGCTGAGCCGTAAAGTTTTTAGTTTTAATATTGTGCAGGTTTATAATTTTACAGATTTTATTATTATTTTATTATATGATATCATCACTAAAAAAAATATTGCATGCAACTTTTTTTTTTGATATATAAATTTATTTTATTTATTATTATTATTGTTAAAATTAAATTTTTTCAGAATTTTTTTTATTAAAAAACAAGTACTCTAACACTAAACTCATTTCATATAAAATTAAAAAAATATATATGAAAAGCACAAGCACACACATTTTTCAGTATTAAATTAAAAATTCGGGCATTGGGGACGAAAATATGGCAAACTCTCTGAACTTTGTTATTATAAATATTGAAAGTGCCCGAAAAACATTTCAAATTCGGCAATTTTATCGATAGCAAAAATATCGTTTTTTCAAATGCAGTTATTTTGTTTTTATTTTAGTCATCATCTTTAACCAACACGCACACAGCTGGTCAAAATTTAAATTAATAATATGCAAGCGAAAAAGCGCTGGCGCATTGTCGAAAAACAAAAAGAAAATTATTCATATTTACACTTGCGCTTTATTTTGATTAATTATGCCTGCATGTCTGTTTTTCATTTAAATATATTATTATTGTTTTTATTTTTTGCATTCTGTATTGATTAGCCTTGACTTGATGACGCTACAAACAATTATTTCATCATAACTTTTGTTAATATTTTGCTGCGTTGTTGTTGTTATTGTTTTTGTTGTTGTAATACCACTCTACGTAAGCTATTATGCTGTTTTTGCATTGCTTTCGCAAAACAGGTATTTGCAGTTTGTTGCACTTGTCGTTTAAGTAATATTAATATACATACATATTTATTTAAAACAAAAAAAAAAAAACCAAGAGACGTTTGTATTGCTGTACTGACAGTTTAGACAATTTCCAGTAATGAATCAGCATGAAATGTAACTTACTATAAATATTTCGCATATATTCATATTTCAAATGAAATTTATGTTTAAATTTAAAAAAATGGAAATTGATTTATCGGCATAAACAAATCGAGTTTGGGTTGAAAAAGTTTTAAATTTGTTAAACATAAATCTGCTTACATTATTTAATTTTTCTTTTACTTTTTGTTTTTAATTTAATTCAAAACAATTAACTAAAATTATTTTATTTTATTTTACTCTGTTAAATATTTTTAATTTATATTATTTTGATTTAATTTTAATTTATTACATATTTTTATATTTTATTTAATTTTTTCTCTTTTACTATTCCATATATTGCTATACTTTATATTATTACTTAATGTATTAAAATTTATTCCATTTTATTTTATTTTTTGCTACTACAATTTCTCATATAACTTTACTAAATTTAATTTAAATTAAATACCTTTAATATATCAATTAATTTTTTCTGTATTTATTATTTTTGTTTTTAATTTTCTACTATTTTGTTTTTTTATTTTTATTTCTTAAATTACATTAAATGTATTTAGTTTAAATTTATATTATTTTATTTTTTATTTCAACAAATCAATTTGTTTTTTGGGAACATCATTTTAAATGTTTTTATTTTAGTTTATAAAGCATTATTTAGAATTTTACGAATAATTGTAAATTATCTAATTTTAATTTACTTAATTACTTTATTTTTTATTTTACTTTATAACTTTTGTATGTTCAACGTACCAGGGGGCTTCCGCGGCCGCCTCTTACATTGATTTATTTCACTTTATTGTTTTAATTATGCTTTTGTTTTATTTTATTTTAGTGGATTTTATTTAATCAAATAATATTACTTAATTTTTTTTTTACTTTAATTGTACCTTATATTATTTTTTTTCATATTTTTTTATATCTTTATTATTTATTATTATTTTATTATTTTATATTTCTTTAAACTAATTGAATTTTTCTATAAATTTTTTATTACTTCAGTTCTTTAATATATTTGTTTTTGTTGTCTGATATTTATGTATTTTTTTTTTGTTTTTAGTTATTTTGTTTTATTTTTCCACTTTTATTTTTTGTTTTTTTAGTTTTTTTTTATTTACCTTTACCTTAGTGTATTTTGTTTTTTTAGTTTTATCAAGTTTATTTTATTTTATTGCAGTTTATTTATTAAATTTTTTGGTTTTTATTATTTCGTTTTGTTTTGAAATTTTTAATTTTTTGTTTAATTTATCAAAAATTTTTTATTTACATTTACCTTAGTATATTTTACTCCCTAGTTTTATCTAGTTTATTTTATTTTATTTATTAAAATTTAAATTTTTATCTTAATTTGGTATATTTTTATTTCACGTAATTCAATGTAAACAATCGAAATTTTTTTTTTTTAATTTTTAATTTTTAATTTAAAAAATTTCGTTTAAAAATTAATTCTTTCTTACTTTATTTTATTTACTTTTTTGTATTATTATTATTCTTAATTAAATATAATTTTTTTAAAATTTATTTTGTTTTATTTAATTGATGTTGTTTTATCTTTCTAATAAATTTTTTTATGATTTTAGTTAATTTAGTGACTTTTTTTTATATTTTCAATGTTATTATGTTTTATTTTAATTAATTTAGATAATGTTTTTTTATATTTTTTTATATATAAAATAATTTTATTTAATTTTATTTCATTTTTTGTTGAAATTAGTTTGATTTGTTTTTACTTTATTTAATATTATCTAAATTTTTTATGTGCTTTATTTTTTTATGCAATGGTTTTTTTATTTATTGTATTTTTTTTTAGTTTACTTTTTAATCTACGTATTTTATAACATATTTTTTTTTTAGTTTTGGCTTACTAACATCTTTCTCTTGGTTTGATGATCTGTTGCTTTCTCTTATTCACGGCACTACTCTTTTCAGTACACTGTATTTCGTACACTTAATTTCTTTTTTGCAGTATTCAATTCAGCAAAAAATAATTGCACATTCAATTCAATTAAATTCAATTGCTTTTGACCCACTCCTTTAATTTTTACAAATTTTTTTTCAATTTTTACGAGTTCGCCTTTCTTATAAATTCAAAAATTTGATTATTCGCGCGCTTTTTCCATTACTTCAATTAAACTTTAACTTCATTTACCAACACAGATGCAAATGTACATACATGTATGTATGTAGAACAGTTTAGCGCTGCGCCTACTTCGTTTATCCGCTTTCGCTAAAATTTTCCAACCGCCGATCCGCAATGCACAAACTCAGAAAACGAACTGACCGCTTCGTTTCGCTTACGTCGATCGGCGTGGTTGGTTGATTCAATTAGTGTTGGAAGTTTTGACATCGTTTTCGTTGTGATATCGTTTTCGGTACGATTACATTTGAGGATTAATATTAAAAGTAAGTGGGAGTCGAAATAATAAAATTTAATAAATATTATTTAAGAAATTCGTTAAAAATAATCAGTATTCCAAACAAGGAAAAAAGCTTTTTATTCCGAAGCAATGTTCGACTCTCTCTTTCCCTACTAAAAGATTGCTCACGGCATTTCAAATATCGAGAATTCAAAATTAACATCACTGCTGCAATTGTGTGGGCTGCACCAAGCCGGAATGCAAACGCAAACGCAAAGTGAAAACAAATCAACAAGTGATCATCGTTATTAAGCTCATCAGCATCACTCGCGCTCTCACTCACTTCTTTGCACATATACACAAATATATAAATATCGTGTGTACATGCTACATCGAGTAGGGCTTAAAAGCATTTATTTCTGGTCACTCTAATTGTGTTTGCTGCAAGATAATTGCTTGCAAGCGTGCTTAAATCGTTTGCTTGTTTTTCTTGCTTGCATTAAACTAGTTTCATATTTTTTAATTATTTATTGTTGCTATTAATGGCAACACGTTTTGTTTACTATCTATACTTTATAGTAACGGGAAAACTTATAAATAAAGCTTTGTTTAGAAGATTTTAGTCTATAAATCCATCAGATTCTGTTAAAAAAAATCTGTTAAATTTTTAAATGCGAAAGTTTAGAAAAAACTACTTTGGAAGGCTTTTAAAATTATTAATTTTTTTTTGCGTTGAAAAAAATGAAATCAGGTTTAAGGCTCTCACAAAAAGTACAAAAAAAAAATTAAATCGATTATTACAAAATCTGCTGAAATTAGATTTTTTTAAATTTATTCTGCTTTTTTATTATTTTTTTCATAAACATTTGCTTATACTTACACATATGCACTTATGTTGAGTCTAGAACTTGATATTTGGTAATTTTCAAGTTTTTAAGTTCTGAGAAAATCAAAATGTATATTTTTTAAATAATAAAAACAACAGAGAAATATTCAATTCTAATTATAAATAATTATTTTATTTTTAACTCTTACTTTTTTAATTCTTTAACTTTTTATACACATTACACATTATATATATTTATTCAACAATACCATTTTAAATTTAAAATTTTACTCGGTTAAGAAATTTCACGGTTTGCACACTTTCGAGTAATTCCATTGACTGAACTTCATTAGATTTATTGAGCTAACCATGACGCCTCCATGCAACAGCTGACTGATGCGAGCTCTCCATATCAACATGCCATATTTGGTTTAGCAGCGTTAAATGGTGAGTTCAAGCTTTCTATCTCCTCCATCTCACTCTCTCCGCCATACACCCTCATTAGCATTTGTTTACACTCGCTTCAACCGGCCTTTGCTGTTGTTTCAAAATATTTTAATTTTACAGTTGTTTTCGAAAACCGCGAACGGCAAACGGCTAGAAATTTCAAGTTGAATTTCAGTTTGAGCTCGCGATGATTCACGTGTACCACTCAGCGGTTGCAATGCAATGCTCAAGCCTCGCGGGCATGACTTCTACTGTAATCTTTTACTCATCCGACTGAGATTGTGTGTGGGATAACCACAAAAGTAAGTGATTGTTTCTTATGAATGAATTTGTAAGCCGCATACATATATCGTTTGGTAAGACAAAAGATGCTGTGACAAATGTTGGTGGTACATTCGTGTGTATGTAAGTACGTATGTATGTGTGAATGTGCTTTCATTGAACTTTTGTCGTACGTTTTTACGAAACGTCCAAAGTGTCGGTGTGTCATTGGAATGTAAATTAAAAAAAATATTTAAACAAAATAAATAAATAAAATGAAAACAATAAAGTTTAAAAGAATTATAAAAAAATAAAATAAAATAAAAAAACGAATAAGATAAATAAAACTAACTAATTAAAAAAAAGTTAAATAAAACAATATTAAGTAAAATAAAATAAAATAAAAAAGTAAAATTAAATAATAAATATTTATAAAATACAATAATACAAAATGAAATTAATTAAAACAAAATAAAAAAAATTTAATAAAATAAAATAAATAAAATGAAATAAAATAAAATTAAAAAAGTAAAATTAAATTAAAAAAAAACCAATAAAATTAAATAAAAAATTGAATATAATAAAATTAAATAAAGTAAAATAAAATAACATAAACTTAAGAACAATGAATAAAGTTATATTGAGAAAAATAAAATAATATTAAACAAAAAAATATAAAAAAATAGAATAAAATAAATTTTAAATAAAATGAATCAAACAAATATAAAATAAAATTCAATATAATAAAACATATTACAATCTAATAAACTAAAAAAAATTAAATGAAATAAAATAAAATAAAATAATATAAAATAAAATAAAATAAAATAAAATAAAATAAAATAAAATAAAATTAATTAAGGTTTTCGTTTTCAGAGTAGGGAGCTTAATACGTTTTAGATTTGTAGTATAGTGAGGAAGACTATAATTAGAAACTGAAAATCCGCAAGGTAAAAGCAGAAATTGTTTTTGAAATTTTTCCAACCTATCACATTTATTTGACGCTTCCGACTCGAATTTTTCGATGCCTTATTAACGTTGTGCAAAAAAGCCTTAGTAACGTAAGGGTCTTTGAGGTTCTTTGACCACCGTTTTACAAACTCCAATAAGCCTTGGGCTTTGCTGACTGTCACACCAATATGAAGGCAGAAGTTCACTTAACACTTAAACACCGGATTTCTTTCTTTGTGCTGAAAGAAGTGTAAGCTATAAATCTTGCGGTTCTATGCAAAGATTGTTCTGGAAATTTTCTTATAAGAAACACCAAACCAAACTAGCAGCCAAAAACCCTGTTGGTTCCTAGAGAAACCACCGGGCACCCAGACTTACAAATTATGAAAATAAGTTTAAAAAAACAGACCTTTTTTTACAGTTATTTAAAAGTTGAAGCTATTAAATATCAAATTATTAAAAAATCCATTTAAATTCGATGAAATTTGAGGCTTCTTTTATATCATTTTATTTCATTGTATATTCATTAAAATTATTTTAGAAATAAACCACATCCATTGAAGTAAATGTGCGTTAAATTCGTTATTGAATCCGGTATCAACTACACGCTCTACGGAGGTTAATGAGTTTCAGATGACTAATATAGAAAGGAAGATTATATTGAGAGTCCCAAAGCAACTTCCTTAAGGGAAAAGGGAGAAATTGTTTTTGAATGTATTCTATCCCATCTGCATCTGCCGAAGTGTAAGGTTTATAAAGTTTTACATCGCTCGCATTAGTACATTAAAATCTTTGAAAATTTAATTTCAGAAAAAATATTATTTATAAATAGTGAAAACAGAATCGGGCAACAACGGCTGCTCCGGGCCCTCCTGACGTAACTTCAATGGGACATTTCGAGTATTGCGGCTGTGGTTACATAACAATTGCAAAATTTGCCTCTTAACGAGTGGCCTCTTAAGCTTGGAATCAGATATATACAAATTCCTTTCGTATTACTAAAGGCAAATTATGTTCATAACTCCTTAAGATAGTTGAGTGTATTTATGTTGATTTTTTTTTTCAAAATAAACATATTAAAAGAGTTTCTAAATTTCATAATTAAATAATATAATATATAAGGAATAAATATAATATAAAATAATAATAAATAAAGTAAAATCAAAAAAAAAAAAATTAATGAATTAGAAAAATAAAACAAAATAAGAAGATATAAAAAATATTTAAAATCAAATATTTTATATACAACATTTAAATGAAATAGAAAATTATAAAATAATGGAAATTAAATTAAATTAACACTTGTAGATCGTAAATCGTGGACCGTAATTCTTCGTACGTTGTCCAGTATGTAACGAACGTAATACCAATAACGTAATTTATGAACATTAATTATTTACGTTTTAGCGATGTTTCACACCAGCAGTTCCGTAAGTGACGTTTTGCCGTTCCGTTAGTAATGGTTTACGCATTGGCTATGTAAGAGGTTTTCATGCAGCAAATATCACAACCAAAAAAATACACACACAAATTGATACAGTGACTCGGGCGAAAATCGCATCAACCGTTACAAGGCGAACATTAACAGAGAATCTATAATAGCTGATACAAAGAACGTATATTAATATAAGTTCTTTGGTTGATATAAATAAGTTCTCTGGTCTGGTAGAAAGCAATGTATTATCTTGGTAATATATGTATGTCTTTAGTGATCTGCATTTCGCGTTCTATTCAAAGAAAAGAGAAAAAACGATATATTCTGCAATTTTTCTTCGATATATATATATAAAAATGTGAATGGTGGTTATGGTCCTGACACACTAACGGTCAATGATGCTCAATTTTGGTTTCATGGATTCCATTTGCGGTAATTTTGATCTGTAAAATGCTAAACATTGCGAAATTATCGAAAATGTCCACAAAATAATGGAAATTGTCGAATTGGACCTTTAGGCGAGCACAGTTTGGATTGCCCAGAAGTTCAACATTGTATAAACAATAGTTTGTAACCACTTGAAAAAGCTCGAATACACAAAGAAACTTGATTTATGTGTGCCACGCGAGTTAATCTTAACCTTGGGCCGAATTTCCATCTTTATATCGCTGCTGAGTAGTAACAAAATCGACTCGTTTGTGAAGCGAATGATGACTTGTGATGAAAAATGGATCACTTACAGTAGAGTCAAACGAAAAAGGTCGTGGTCTAAAGGTAGTTTGACGGGGAAACCAGTCTCTAGAATTTTGATCTGTTGAATTTTGATCTGTTGTCTGTTTGGAGGTATTGGTAAGGAATCATCCTCTATGAGCACTAATCTGCGTTAAACTCTTAATAAGGACCTATACTATTGGGGATCGTACCGTCTGAGGTACCGTCTGAGGTAATTACAACCAGAAGCGTTCCGTTTTGTCCAACAGAAGGGGAATTGGGTTCGTATCGATAGTAACTCGTCGGAAGCACTGAGAGTTTGGTTTGGAGATTTTTATGCATCCACCTTATAGTACGGATCTAGCACCAAGTGATAACCATTTATTTCTCTTTATTACGATTGATTTGGCCAATAGGTATAGGGGTCTCTATGGGTGAGGCGTACATTGCATATTTGACAAAAATCGTACAAATTCTAACTACGACAAATAAATCCTTCGACTTAATTTCTTGAAACTTCAAAGAATTCATGTTTAGATAATTTTTTGTATAAAAGTACAAAGTGTCAGGAATATTTTCTCTAAGTTTCAAGTTGATCGAGACGAAACTGTAGAAATTAGTGGGTTTTGAAAACCGCTGTCTTTGTCATGGCTTGACCGATGGCGAAACTGTAAAAGCGTTTTTCTTAAAACCACTTTATCGAAATCAGTTGTCAAAAATTCTCAACGACTATTGAAGCGATCGAGTTCAAATTATCCATACTTCTTTCAAGCATGTTTTTGTAGTCCCTGAATGAAGGATTTATTTCATCTTTGATTTCAACTCTTTTTACAAGCCAATATGTGGCCTAATTTTATGCAAAAAATTACGTTTTTTGTAAAAAACGCTAAAAAATTAAATTTTAAATATTTTTAATTTTTCTTCGTTCAGGGAGAAGGAAAATTCTCCTACTTTGAGGAAAGAATTGGATTTTTGATTTCAGACAAAAAATGAAAAAGTTATAATGACTACAGCGAAAACACTTTCTTGTGGACGGTCTACTTCACGACACTGCCAACGCCTTAACTTTTACTATTTTTAATTCAAGTTTTCATCAAATGTTGTCCACATATTGTACTTTTATATGTAAACAACATAAATTGTTTACTTCATTTAGTATCTTTTAAAAAAAATTAAAGAAAATAAGCTTTTTTTTGGCCTTCAAGACCTATGTAACACCTTAATGCAAGTTTGCAAAAATGATGTATTACTTTTTACTAGACCATTTACATATATATATATACAATATATGATTTTAGTTAATTTTGAACATTTTGTGGATTTCTTTTCATATTTTAATTGTAACCAATTTTAAAGTTAATTAATTTATTTTGTTTTCGAAAATGACTAAGTTTTTGAAATGGTATTTTTTATGCTTGAATTTTTCAAAATGCTCCCTTCCATTTCCCATAGTGGAAAAACAAAACCAGTTTTTTTTTTTAATTTTTTATTTAAAATTAAAAGAAAAATGTTTAGTAGAAATTTTCAATGAAAAATTCGCTAAACTGCTTAACTAATAATTAAATGCCAATAAAATAGTTTTCTTTACAACAACGTTAACATTATTCAAAAAAATAAATTGTTTTACACTCTATAATTTTACAATAATTAAATATTGCTGAAAAAGTCTAAAATTTGCAAATAAAAAAATATATTTACGCAACAATTCGTTGAAATAAATAAAAAAAAAATTAGTTTAAAATACAAACTACTAACCGCCGCCAATGCCAGACCACTTCTGAGCTGCTGCCAACAGCAAACGGCAGAGACTGGCGCGGGGTTTCACTAGACTATTTGGAATTCATAGCTGCGTAGGCATTATTTAGTTAAAAAAAAATTAATAAATAAATTTTTTATAAAATTATTATCTAACATTTATATAAAATATTATTTCATAAATGCCTATTTTTGATATACATTATGTTGTTGGTAGTCTACTAATTTTAGTACTATTTAAAAGGAGTTACTTATGCTTTAAATTAATAAAATAATTGCTTTTATTATTGCACTTAGTGGCTAAATTGTTTGATTGCACATTTCCGGCCAAAGACAACGGAAAAATATCACATTGTTCATCTAAATTCTAAGTATATATATATATATATATTTGTTTGATTGCACATTTCCGGCCAAAGACAACGGAAAAATATCACATTGTTCATCTAAATTCTAAGTATATATATATATATATATATAAAGAAATCTACTACTCTTTTAACTACATATTTGCAAGCGAACTAACTACTTTTTACACTCGTTTTTAAACAATAAAAAATTCCATTTAATTGCACTATGCTTGAGGATTGCACCTTTGTTATTGCACTTAAATATTGCTTAGTATGATTGCACGCGTATATTGCACAGTGTTGCCATATTTTTACTAACTACTACTTTTTATTTTTGTTAATTATATTACATCGTCCGTTCTTTCGTCCTCTCGAACGCCTACATTTTTTGTCAACATCTCTGTTGCTACTCCCTTGTTGTGACACCCACCACTTGGGGTTGCCACTTATTATATTTATAAAATACGCAATTTATTCTTTGCTCTCAGCTCTTTCGCACATTTTTGTACAACACCGAATGTGTTTCAATACTCTCTGCGCCCGATTCCCACATATCTTCGGCGTTTGTCTCGCCATCCGTCTCCGAAGAGCCATAAGACGGACTTTGTCCACCTTGTGCTGGCTCTTCCTCTTCTGAGGAGTACGTCGTCGAGCCGTCGAGATTGCGCGCCGCATCCAAGCGTCCGCCACTGGACTGTGTGATCGTCTTATCCGATTCTGCATCGCTGGTATCCGTCTCATGCGCCGTCGCATGTCTCATTGCTATTGCGGGCAGCTCGTTTTCAGGTGGTTCGCCCATATGTTCAAAATCTTCAAAACGATTGCTATCCAAAATACTGCCACGTCGTGCTGAAGCAGCTGCGCCGTTATGACGATCAGTCAACGTGCTACCGCCATCGGAGTTATCTTCGATTGTGTCCACACGTATAATGCGCTCTCGTCCCGACATCTTTTTAAAATTGTAGCGATCGTAGAAGCTGCGTTTGTATACCTCACCCGAATCGGCGCTCATGTAACCACTATCCATCTCCTGCGGACGTGGTCCGAAACGCTGTTCGTAGTAGTTTTGCGAGGCGGGTGCTGAGTAAGTGCTTTTCGGCGTTGAGACGCGTGGGTTTTCGTCAATCAACGATGAAATGCCTTCGTCACGATCCAGTACTTCCAGAAAACTTGGCGGTTTCTTATCGTAAGGCGGCGCTGGACTATGTGTGGGACTAAATTTAGACGCTGCCATACTGACAAATTTCTTCCAAGCATTTTTCAGATCTTTAGCTTTCTTGGCGCGATCCTTGAGACCCATCGCTATTTGCATACCGTGTGTTAGCTGCACCGGTTCAATTTCACAGTGATAGACCGTTTGTACGGTGTTGGTTGGTGTGGCCGCAGGCAGTGGTACTGGCGGTGGAGTAGAGTTCGTGCTGTTATTACTCGAGGCTGTGCTGCGTTGTGGATATGCTATTCCCACGGGTACGCCAGCATTACGGTAGAGCTCCTTGGTGCGATCGGAGAGTCTACTGCTACTGCGGTTGGAACGTGAGCCGATCGAGAGTAGATCCAGTTTGCTTGTGTCCAGCTCACCATTCTTCACAGTATTGAGATTATTGTTCGCCTCGAGCTGGGCATCGATATCTTTGCATGTGCTCGGCTCATCTTCAGCATCGTCGATGTTCTTGCGTCGATTCAAGTACTTTGTAAGACTGTAGTCACTACGCAGACCATTGATTTGTGTATTGAACATGGCGCCGTAATCGCTTTCTATACGTTGAGATTTTAGTTTGGTCGGCGGTGAGTCTAACTGCTTGGCACTTGTGAACTCCTTACTACTCTTGTTTGTGTTGGTGTTGGTGTTCGTATTACTATTGCTAATGCTGCTGCGACGGCTGCTTAGGTGTTCTTGGGTGTCTTCTAGATCCAGCTTATCCTTTTGATTCTCATGTGCTACACTAGAGAGCGTATTGTTACAGGAACCGTCGAACTCCGAGTTTGCGAAGTTATCCGATACGCCTGTGATCTCGGTAGACTCACTGTGATTGCTCGCGGTCTCCTCTTCAGTGGCTGTAGTTGTGGCGTTTGTGCTGGTAGTGGAGTGGTGTAGATAATGATGGTGATGGCTGTGGTTCTGGTAATGATGATGCTGCGAGTGCTGCGTAGAAGCGTGACTCCGCTGACTTGTTAACGTGGTAGAGGCGGAACTGGGCGGTGGTACTGGTGGCAGTGGCGGCGGTGAACGGCTGATGCGTTTCTTCTGCGTCAAATCCGTAGAAGACGCTTTGCTGCTGGTAACGATAGTGTTTAAGGTGCTGTTAGGTTTCGGCGGGTGCATTTGGCTCGGCACAATCGTTGGTGTAGGCACAGCTTGTACGTTTTTTGTCAATTCGTATAAGCTCTTTGGAGATACTGTGCGGTTCTTAGGCGGCGGCAGTGGTGGCGGTCGTCTAGGTGAGGGTGAGCGGCGGCCATTGTGCACCTGTGGGTTGATTACGGCGGCCTCCGCGGTGCGACGCACTTTTGGTGTGCTAATCTTGATGGTCGTTTTATTCGATGAGGCATTTGAGATCTCTATTGTAGCGGGTGGTGGTGGTGGCACTGGAGATTCAACGATTTGCTGGCGTCGCTTCTGTTTAGCTTCCAACGTGAGAAGGCGTCCTTGCTCGCTGCTCAGCTCGAGCTCTTGTGTGCTTGCATATTGACCACCACACTTGCAGCTCGATTGACTGTTCTGTCGCACCAATGGCGATTGGTAGATCTCACGTAAGCTATTAAAACTCGGTCGCCGTTCATCTTTGAGTTCATTCATTTTATCGGACGTAAGCAGATCTAAGTGGCTTTCATATGCAGACGTGTGTGCACTACCATGACTACTTTGGCTGCGGAATGAACTGTTCGAGCGAAGTATGAATGATGACTGACTTACGCTGTGATGCGTGTGTGTACCGTTTTCGTGCACTACGTGGTTGTTCGGCTGCTCGCCATTTTGTACTTTCTTCAAAGCCTGACCCGTCCACGCATTTACATCGCAGAAGCTCTGCTTCTTCGGCTTTCGATCCAGCGTGTCGGGCTCAAATTGATCGCTGTCCGTCGAGCGTTCAATATCGGATTGTGGTTCGTGCTCTACCTCTATGGTCATACTACCACGAAATGGTGTATCATATTTGATGCGTGCGGCGACCTCTTTCTGTTTAGTGCCACTGCTATCGGTCTTATTCAACGTTTTCTTCTTCAGTTCAGCTTCTGGACGAAACCCATTTGACTTATCGTAGACGGTGTGACTAATCTCCAGCTCCTCCTCGAGTGGTAAGGCTGTGCTCAGACTTGGACTGAGCTGCGAGCTAACATCGGATGAGGGTGATGAGGAGGACTGTGAGCTCTTCCGCTTGGTAGCCTCCAGTCGCTCAAGACTGTCTGTCTCGTAGTCAACAATTAGATATTGTGGTGACTTGCGTCTGTAAATTGGCGAGTCGGGCTGAAACTGTTTGAGCGACTTACGACTCAGTGTACTATAGTCAGGTGTCGGTACCGAAGGCACGCTGCTCTGTGTGTTATTGTAGATATCTTTAATTTTCTTTTCGATTGTGCTGTCATAGTCCGGTGTAGGTATATCCAAGTGGAACCCGGTGTGTGCATTAAATGCCGCATTGTATTCCCGATTGAGTGCATCGTACATATTTTTCGGCAGATGGCGGGCATACTGCTGACGCTCGATAGAGTTGTAGGTACTGCCGGTGGCTGCTGACATATACTGATCCACAATTTCACTACGCTTGCGGGTCACAGAGGGTTTTGCATGCTGCGAGGTTGGGTTGCGTTCACGTCGTGAGGCTGAGGGCGAGTCGTGGAGGTTAAATTTGGGGTTGTTGTAAATCTCGCTGCCAGTTTCGGCGAAACCGTACATGCTGGCGGCAGCCGAGATGGCAGAGAACGCTTTACTGTAGTTTTTGTTAACAGGTATGCTAACAGAGGGCTCCGTAGAGATGCTCGTGCAGTAAAGTTGGTAGGAGAGCGACGACGAGCTTTTCACAACATCAATACTATTCGCTGCAGTCTCGTGTGTAGACATTTTCGAGCTTGCTTCGGTCCGTTTGCTCCTACCGTTTTCATCTGTAGGTGCCGGTGGTGGTGGTGGTCGTTGTTTGGGTGGTGTAACTTCCTTTCTCACGGGACTACGTTGACCGCTTCGACTGCGCGCACGACCGACTTGTGTTGATGGTGAGTTCCGGCTCGGTGACTGGCGGCGTGTGTGAACAGCATGCTGTTGTAGCTGTTGCTTGCTCGTTTGCTGTTCAGTTGGTGCTTGTGGTGGTGGTGGTGGTGGACTGGCGGCGTGTGTGAACAGCATGCTGTTGTAGCTGTTGCTTGCTCGTTTGCTGTTCACTGCCTCTGGCCTTGCCCGAGTTTTGTGTCTGATTGTTGCCACTACCACCCTCTTCATTGCTCGTGACCGTCTGCAGCCACTTCTCGATGCTGTTCCGTTTATCGCCGCAATTCTTTACGTGACCGCTACAACGATTGTTAGCGCAGCCCTGACACTCGGAAGGCGACTGTTGGTGGTGTGAGCTATAGAGCGAGGGCGTATCGGAGGTGTGTTGTCCACCCTCTTCGGGTATCATAATGAGCGAAGGCTGGTAACGTTTGGTGGCCATTTTATACTTGGCTATGGCAATGACCTCGCGGATTTTATGTAAGAACTCAACTGCAGCGGGCGGTGGTTGCTGTGAGAGGGGGAGGAGGAGAAAAACGATATTAGACATTTGATCTACAAACTCACTCATTCTCATACTCACCGCAAGTAGATGTGGCTCAAAGTAGGCGGGATTAAAGTACAGCTTCTTGCGCACATTACCGTTCACCATCTGACGCAGATGCTCCAACTTCTCCTCTGTCATCATATCCTCGACTATCGAAACATTTTCCACCGGCAAGCACTCCGTCTCCTGCGTGGGAGACGACGACAGTGTTGCATCACTGTTCGCCTGCTCAGCAGTCGACGGATCGTTCGCGCTCCTCGGCGGTGAACCGTGTGGTGAACTGCTCTTGTGCGACTTGCTGTTGTTGTTGCTGCTGCTGCTGTTGCCCAAACCGCCCAATTGTGGATGGACCAGCGCCGATGTCTGCATCTGTCAAGTCACGCAAACGCTTCAATATCATCAAGCATATGGGATAAGCAAGAGAAATGTAGTGCACAAGGCATGCAAAATACCTGCTTGAGTTTCTCATGGAAGCTGCCGTCCATTTCACACTCCGAATTTGAATTGGATATATCGCTAGCAAAGCCGGAATTGTGTTCGCCGAGCTGTGGAAAATGCTGCAGCAATGGATTGTTCTTAATAATGCCCATCTCCTCCTTCAAACTGCCGATGCTGGCACGCGAACGCGGCTCATTTGAGGTACCCATGCTGGTGGCGGAGTAAATGCTGCCGCTGCGATTGAATGGCGCGCCGAATGTCACTTGGTCATTCTTGGGGTAATTAATCTCATTTGCCATGTCGTCAAGGGAGTTGCGCATGTGTGGCGATTGATCGCGGCTCTTGCGTTTCTTCATGTGCAGGTAGAGGAAGACCGATGCTACATAAATCAAGCCCAACAAGAGACTGCACACGCCAATAACCACATACTCCTTAGTCGACATGCCATCCGAGGTGGAGGCCAGCGTTGAAGTGGCCTCCGATTGGAAGAGCACCTCCGAGACGTCTGTGAGTGGGCGATCAAAAGTAAGAAAATAAAATGAAATAAATAATTAGATGTTGCTTTGTGCTCTGAAGACACTTACTATTCGTGTACTTCACTGGCGTGCCGTTGACACGAAAGGCGACACAAGGCGAGAAAACATTCTTTGGTGGCATCAAGTGTTCTGCGAAACGAATTGCAATTTTTATTGAATAAATGTTTATTGTTGTTGATTTGTTGTAATACGAGTTGACTTACCTTTGCTGGTGGCATTCAGGGTAATTGTCATGTCACGACAAACCAAATGCACGACAATGAGGCGACCTTGCATTTTGTGCCGCAAATCCGGTTCGCCCAGCCACTGAAAGGGAAGTAAAAGAGGGATGAGATAAAAATCATGAAGAAATAAATAAATAAAAACTCAACAAATTAACATAAGGCAAAGGCGCTTGATATTCAAAGAGGCACAGACCCTCAGCATAAGTCGCTCTGTGGGAGAGAAGCACGAAATATTTAGGAACTGGTGGAGGAGCGAATTAAAAATGTAAGAGAGTTGTCTTTGGGTCCAATCACTAACACTTTCCCATCTTCCTGGGCTGCGCTTGACTGCTGGAGGCCTGCGAAAGCGCTACACATCTGGAAAGGCCACAAAGGGCCTTCAGAATCTCGATTTGCAGAAAGCTGCCGACTATATGGCTTATATCGGTCTCAATAGTCGAGTTCTTAGCAGTGCATAGGTCTAGGTCTAGGGTTAGAGTCTTTTCCAATAAACCGCCAAAATTATAGAAAATGAATTTTTCGTCGTCCCTGGGTAGGGAATGTACCTGAATTTCGGTTGCTTCTGGCAGCTACAGCAGAGGTGTGCGGTTGGAGCAATGTGCTCAAGTTTACAGACAAAGATTTGCATATCTGTACAGACGGATTTAAAATCGGTGGCGACTGCGGTTTACGGCGGGAGGTTGGAAGGTCAGGCAGGTTGCCAAGCTACTGCAGTATCTTCCAAACCGAGAGTCTCAGCTTTACTCTATTACAACATGAAGTCCCCAGTGAATGTACTATTTATGTAAAGAGGCTAGCAAGTGAGTGCTATGGCATAATCATAGCGAAGGCAGCGAGTTAACCGGGACACAGCTATTTCGTCTATGTAGGACCTCTAAAGGGATCAACAGCCTAACCAAACCTGAAACTGCTACAGTTCGCTTCCAACATTTCTCACTCCTTAACAGTGCTTGGTTTCCGATTTAAGAATTGATCTATGTGTGTATAAAAAATAAATTTGATTCGAGAAAAATTTTAAGTCGCTCTCTTAGACAACTAAAGTTCAATGGAGATCTATATAGCAAATATTCATTTCAGTCTCTAAACGCGCATTACAGGCATCAGATTAATTCTTTTACCATGAAGAGAACGTGAATTAATAATCCTGCCTACCCAAGTTCGTAGAGACTGCACTGCTGAGGATATCATTTAACTCTGATCTGTCAATCTTCATCCTGCTAACGCGATTATCTTTAAGTACTCTCTGAGCGCGTAAGTAGTAGCTGTGTTTTCTTTTTAGTAAACACTTTCCACTTATAATCGCTTCTTCTTCTTCCTATACTTCTCAGACGCATTGCATGATTTCGTCTGATGCGTTTTTAAACGCACTTATTAACTGCTAATGCCTTTAACCGTCACATATTTTACACTATTTTATAAAGTTTTCATTTTCATTATCAACAAGCACCGGTGGCATGCTGACTAAACATGTGGGTTGAACATGCAACGGAGGCGCGTTGCAAGTTAAGCTGAAAGCGGCAGCGACTTTGGCACGCGCAACATATTTAACAGTCTAATAAACACATAAAAATGTCTATTTTATATGTCATTGCTTATGTGTTAGTTTTAATTACTGCTTAAATTTGTATATTGCTATGCGACATTGTTAAGGCGGAAAATTCGTTGCTGACGATTTTTGATTTTATGCACATGAAAGAGGAGGGACAGATTGTTATATTTTCGGAGTTGAGATTTAGCAATCGAACACGCTTTTATTGAGGGTAGGACAATTGCACGTAAAGTAGTCTAAGACCCACCTGTAAAAATGTACGTCCCTCATCGCGAAAGATACGGAAGGGGTAGTCCGTGTCAATGGGATTCCGTAGATCCGACCAACCATTCACGGTAAGATATTGGGCGCCAGTTACTGCACAGACCGGCGTGCGAATGTCTGCAAAAAACCCATTTAATTTAATATAAATGAAACATAAATAAATAAAGAAACAACCAAATTTAGCTAAACTAATATAAAAAAAGTGGAATAAATAAAATAAAATAAAATAAAATAAAATAAAATAAAATAAAATAAAATAAAATAAAATAAAATAAAATAAAATAAAATATAATAAAATTAAATAAAATAGAATAGAATGAAATAAAAAAATGGAATGGAAATTTAATAAGATACATTAATTTCAGCAAAATAAATTAAAATAAGGAATTGCACACACAAAAAATGTTTGGGCCTGCGTCTGAAGCAAAGAAAAATATGCCCACACATGCGCATCAACATATAACTATGTATACATATGGAAAAGCATTTGGATTTTTGTTTAGTTTTTTACTAAATGGTTTGTAATAGATCTCATTTGTATCACAGATAGTTTCGATATATCTATATATGACCAAGTCAATATGTATGCGTGTGCGTCGATTTACCTGGAAAACTGATTTCTCTACTGGGGTAAATGATTTGGCCACGCAATGGCAGAAATACAAACGGTATTTTCTCGGATGATGAACCGCTAACAAATGGCGAAAGAGTACATTCTGTAAATGGAAAAGAAATATAGAGGAAAATAAAATAAAAACGTGGGTTATAATAATTTTATAATATATTTAACGCAAATATATATCGAATTCTTAAGATATTTTATCTTAATTTTAATTAAAGAATTGTATGAAATAGGATATAACGCTAGGTATTGCAGCTGATGAACCGAAAAAAAAATTAATGAAATTAAATATTTTATTTAACGAACAATTAAGGATATATCAAAACAAATTTTTTAAACCAAATTGTTATGCATTTTATTATAAGTTCTTAGTGAGCGGAATGCCTGGTTTATTTGTATGAATAAAATAAAATAAAAAAAATAAAATACAATAAAATAAAATAAAATAAAATAAAATAAAATAAAATAAAATAAAATAAAATAAAATAAAATAAAATAAAATAAAATAAAATAAAATAAAATAAAATAAAACAAAATAAAATTAAATAAAATGAATTAAAAAAAAAATAAAAAATATAATTTTATTAAAAAAAATTAAATTATATTAAAATGAAAAGAATGAAATAAAAAAAGTAAATTAAAATAAAATATAATATAATTAAAAAAAGAAAAATAAAATAAAATTTAAGTAAATAAATGAAATAAAAAAAAATATAAAATAGATGAAATTATTATTTTATTATTCAATTCATAATGAACCAACAACAAAGTATTGAATATTTTGTTTTCATAAATAAATGCGATGTTGATTTCACTGTTATCGTCCTATTTAACGTCATAGTAAAAAGTTCAGCTCACTGACTTTCGGCAGCCATCAAGTTCACGCCGCCATCCTGCCTATTATAGATGCACCAATACCTGTTTTTACTATCAGTTTAACTATATTTTTTTCTTCAATTATCAAAAATTCATTCGCACTTTTGTCATATTTGTTTGTTTACTGCGCTGTTGATGTTTATATTATTTATTGCTTATTTGTCATGTTTTATTGTAGGCTCCTCAGCCAATGTTTTGTTCATTTTTCTTTTTAATTTTCTTCTTTTTCCATTGAAAACCCAACCGGGCAACAGTGAAAGTTAACTTGTCTCAGCAGCCTCAAGTTTAAAGCCATCACGGGTAAAACTGCTAACTGATATGTATGTATACACTTGTCTAGGTCTACGCATGCGCAACTGTTTACTCGCTACAAAATGACAATGCGGTTTTATAAATAGCGAAGATGAGATTTTGTTTATGTTCGCATGAGTGCTTAATTATAGAATATAATTTTTTATTACAAGTGTGCTAATTATCAAGGAAAAATGCAAATTCTGCGTGTTTTGGTTTATGGAAGTGGTGAGTAGAGATTGCATTTAGTAGTTTGACCAACATTTAGAATTATAGAAAACACTGTTCTAAATACGATCGGCTCTCAGCAGAAAATTTCGTTATTGAAGAAGCTTATTTTTTGCAATTCTAACTCTCCATCCAACACCAGTGGGCGTTTCCCAGATTTCATATGTGGATGACTGCTCGATGTTAGCGAATAACCTAATATTCATTGCCATTGCTCGAAAGTAAATTAGCTAGACGCGGAAGTAGAAGTTACAAGCCAGCCCAAAATCCGCATTGAGGACCGATGCCCCGAGCTTTTGCCTATGCCCCAATTACACAGTGACACATCTATGTTTCCAGTTAAGGAACCATATATTCAATGTGTGGAAGGATGTTGCTGTAAATCTCTTCCTATCAGATGCTTATTAGAAACTGAGCCAGTAGCTCGGCACAGCAACATCAGAAAAGCAGTACTCGATTTATAAGACTCAATTCAGCACCGTAGAACCAAACCGTTGGACTATACGGCATACCGGCAGTACTTAAATGGTATTCATCATGATTCTGTCTACTCCTTCATAAATTCTCTTCGCATCAATAGTATACTCGGAAGGCAATAACCGCTCATAGCACACAAAGTGCTCGTGCAGCTCGCGAGACTCAAGAAGTCGATTAAACTTCCACCTATCTAGACTTGACCGCGACATACTTAACGTATGTTCTGCATTCAAGGAATCCATGCACAACACTAACAAATTCTTTGTCTGCCATCTAAGACAAACCCGTCTAACAGCCCTCTACCATTTGCCCGAACTAGTCAAACAAACAGACCATTCTTTTCTATGGAACAAAAAAAGTCACAAGGTGCCACATCGGGCAAATAAGGCTGTTTTTGCAATGTGGCGATGCCCTTAGAGGCCAAATACTTGGGCACGCTGAGGGAGATGTGGCACGGCGCGTTGTCGTGATGAAGGATCCAGTTACGAGCTGTGTCCGGGCGCACCTTGTTGACTTGTTTTCGCAACCTTACGAGCACTTGTCGATAGAACACTTGATTTACGGTCTTACGGACGATTCCACGACTATCAAATAAGGCAATAATCATCATGTGTACCTACGACTTGCTCATGCGAGCTTTTTCCGAGCGGGAGGCATGCGGAGACAGCCATTGTGAGCTTTGGTGTTTAGTTTTCGGGTAATTTTTACAATTGTAACCGGACAATTTTAGCGTACATTTCCGGAGCTGTTTCGCCCAAATTTGGTGTTGCTCCTAATTTCGTTTATCCATTTTCGTGACGACCACTACGAACATACGTGTACTCAACACGAAATAGCAGGCGAATTGAACATGCTAGAGCGATGGCAATATATCAGTGGAGAGAAGATGGATGCCGGGAAAAGGGAAAGGAGATTTCAAGGTCGAAGGGCTAGCACAGTCTCGGCAATATAAACAGTCTCATTACTTAATTGTCACATCTCGTAGACTGCTTCTATGTGGGGTTAGCTAGCCACTACAACAACAATAACCGCCATACCGCACAGCCAGCAAGATCCTTCATTTCTTGAATTGGGTGGAGTGGACTCTGGAGCCGGTAAGACATCGATTGCAGCCACTTTGTTGTGCTTCAAGCATGAAATCGCACTCTAACCCGAGCCATTCCGTAGTTTTTCATTGGTTCTAAGCACCATGTACATAAGTATAATAATTATATTTTGTATGTATACAAGGAATGGTGTATTAAAGTATGTACATTTGGACCAGAAATGTACTCATATGCCGATCGGGTCAGAATGACGGGTTGAGTTGATTTAGTTTTATCCGTCTGCCCGTCTGTTTGCATGCAAACTTGGCTCTCAGATTTTGAGAACCCAACCGAACCCAACCGACCAGATCGGACCCACTATACATATAGACATACAAAAAATGTATCAGATTCGACATTTTGGATCATAAATGTGTAAACAAAGCTTTTTGAGAGCATGAGATTTTGGTATTTTAACACATATGAAACTAAAGAGTTACATCCGGTTAGGAGCCCTAAAAAATGAGGTTTTTCAAAAATTTTTCACGAGTAAGTTTTTAGTCTTTTTATTTTGAGCATTTGCTCACATATTACGGCATCTTTGAAGAGCAGCTAGCGGTTTTTTATTTATAAAAGCAACCGCTTTTGAGCCTGCTATAGCAGATCTCCAGGGACCCCGCCCAAAAAAGTACTTTTTGCAGTGGCCATTTTATTTTTGAAGTGAGTCAATCGAAATGAAAAATTCAAACGGATTTCGTTAAAGTAAGGTATAAACTTGCGATTAATCGAAGAAATAAGAAAAAATGGCAACTTCTTAACAAAAAAATAAAATTAACTCCATAATTTTGGTCTTGAATTGCGAATTAAAAAAAAAAAATTTTCATCGGTAATGGAAAAACCTCGATTAAGTATTAATACTAGAAAATATTGTTCAGAAGCTCGATTTAGCCGTTCCCGAGAAATCTTGCTCACCGACTCGAAAAACATAGTTTTTAGAAAAGCGAGGTCTTAAAACCGCCATCAAATGCTCTGACGCGTCGTTACAGATATGCGTGCAACTTCCAAAGTAACAGTCGGATCGACTTGAAATTTTCAGAGAATTTAGTTGAATACATGTACATTCCGAGAATGAAATTAAAAAATCGATTTTTTGAAAATTCTTACTAGATGTAACCCCTTAATTACACAATAATACCGAAAAATGTCGAAATCGGACGGAAATCATACAGCGCCCAGACGCCAATTTCTTCAGATACGAGGTTTTCGGTCTAAACTCCGTCAAAAACTCATCTAGAAGCATCAAATTTGGTATTTTTCACACGTATTTACAAGTAAATATTGACACCAAAAACCAACGATAAGTGGCTTCAATATTATATAGCCCCCTTACAGCCGATTTGTTCAGATACGAGGTTTTTTGTCAAAAATTCAACATAAACGCATCCGAGGGTATGATATTTGGTAGTAAATATTCATATTTATGAATAAATATTGTCACTAAAAATCAACGAAATCCGAAGACTATATTATATAGTCCCTTCTAACCTATTTTTCAAAAATTAAAATGAATATTCAATTGCAAAATGATGGTCATGAAAGGCATAAAAGTTTCGACAAGGTTAAAGACAGCTCCTTTTTCCATTATAGTTATCGGTGGGTGTAATCTTGCGGATGAGCATGGGTTCCAATTCTCGCCAGACCAGAATCAGGTAGGCCGAAAATTATTTCAGCGATTATAAAGCGCCGCTTACTTATATATACATACGTGTACGTACTCCCTACACTAAACTACTCAAGGCGGAGTCAATTCGAAATTTGGTTGTAGCTTTTGTTGTTATCAGATCCACAGTCAAAGGTCAAATGATTAATCGTTCATCCACTCAGCATAAGCGGACGTTAACCGCTCTACATACATATATCACTGCTAATTATTTTCCAGTTCCACTTGGCTTTTACTCACATACATTTTACACTAATAAAACTCCAATTGCAATTATAACCGTTGTAAAATAAATTCACTTTCATATTCACCCTTTTCGCAATAACAAATAAATTCGCAAAATAATGCGAGCCAAACAAAATTGTTTTCATTTTCAAGGCATTTAGCGATTTTCATTTTTTATTTTTTTTTTTATTTTCTTTTCTTATTTGCTTTGCTTATACACTTTAATTCAAAGCGAAGTTCACACCTTTTTATGAAAATAGTTTTTGTTTTCTTTTTTTAAGATTTTTTTTTACTTTTTTTTCTGCTTTTATTTGTTAAAAAATAATTTAAAAATAACAAAAATTTTTTTATTTTAGTTTTTTTTTTTTGTGGCAAATAAATCAAATAGCTGAAGAGCTTTTGAATTGTGCTCACACACACACACACACACATACTCACATGTGCATATACATACATACATATGAAATATTTGCTTAAGGCTTTTTATGAGCTCATTACACATCTGATTGTTACTTTTGTTTTGTTTGTTTTCATTTTCTACGCAGAAATGATTGCCTTGTTGTTGTGTTTGTTTTTGCAGTTACCGCATATTTTTCACATAGAAAAATTTTACTTTTACTTACTTGACGCACACACATATCTGAGTGTGTTTTTCAATTTGTCTTATATTACTTTTTTTTGCCTTTGCATTTCTTTATTTACATTTATTTATTTTATTTTTTATTTTTTTTTTTTTTTGAAATTTCCGCCAACCACCACGTGCATTCGTGTCGCCACACAATGAGCAGCGGTAACTGTGAAATTTATGGCATCTTCTGTGGCGAATTATGACAATAAAAGACGAGAGCTGCAGATGTTTTGCGGTTTTTTGTTGTTGCTATTCGTTTTTCAGTAATAGAGTGAGTGAGGAAAAGAAAAAAGATTAAAGGAAAATCATGAAAAAGCGAGCGAAGAAAAAAATCAATAAAAATGTGCAGAAAATGTTTTTAGTCACACCGCAAATGCCGCAAAAGGGGCTGATATATATGTATGTATGTATGTATGTATGTATGTATAAAAGAAAATTGTAACAACAAAGAGAGCAATAACAAAAGCAATCACCGCAAATTGAAAATGTATATCAAATGTTGATTACATGCATGCCACAGTTGCTGCCACACACACACACACACACACACACACATCATCCATATGTCGGTGCTTTTTTGTTTACGTTATGAAAATGAGCTAATATACAGCATTGTAGTTGCTGACTTGACTGCTGGCGGCTGTGCTGCTTGCAAGCTCAATTTCTCAGAGCTGCCACCGTAAATTGGCAATAATTTACATTTTTACAACAACACCATGGCTTCCGTGTGTATCTTACCGGGTTTCCAGCTACCGCTTAACAGTGACAGTGGCAATTTTTCATCTTCACCCATATGGTGGTGTGTGTGGTGTGTGCCGGCAGCGAAAGTGCTCTGCATTCGGCTGCAGCGTTACAAACAAAAGACTTGTGCAGCGAACTCGCTATGGATCGGTGACAGTTTTACACATAATTTGCATATATATTCACTTAACTAACGGCAATTCACGACATTATGACGGCATGAAAATGATGATAATGGCGAAATGTGCTGTGGTGACATTATCATTTTATTGCCTGTAATTTGGTGAATAATTTGCGATAAGACATACATATGTATGTGTGATCCAAAAAAAAAAAAAACTATTATATAAGAGTTACAAAGTGACGTAAAAAGACGTAAAGTTATTTCATGCAATTTTCGATGTAAAAAAAACCAGAATAAAAAAAACATTCAAAATTTCTGTCATCCGACCTAGCAGATGGCGCAATAAACTGATTAAAGTTCGTTGGATAGGTGACAAGCTTTTCTGCTTCTTCTTCTTATAATTATTATTGATTGGCACGTGCATACGCTTACACAAATGTAGTCCGGGCGAGAACAGCGCATCAGTCGTTTCTTCTCTTCGCCGTTCGGCGCCACTTTTAAGCACCAAATGAGGCTAGCTCCTTTTCCACCTGATCTTCCAACGGAATGGTGATCTTTCTCTTCTCCAGAACTCAAGCCCTGATTCGACCAACATCCAAAAGATATTTATAAACTCTAAAGCCCTCCGTTTGTTTGAAAATCATTAAGTTGCACGCCACAAACTAGAGGAGGGGCTCGTATAACTACTACAAATTAACCTTCCATCGTCCGCGATATTCACCACTACCAATACGAAATGGTCTTTTGCAAATCTTTTCTTTGAAAACTGCCATAGCCGATTTTTCATATTTTCTCTATGTCCAAGCATTATTCAGAAGGACGGAAGAGAAGACGTTAATTTTAAATTGCCATTCACAGCTGTTGGCGTTAGTTTTTTAAGCTGACAGGCTGATAGGCTATTTTTGGTCTTGAGAATTACCGCTGATTAAAACATTCGACGAATCCACTTATATTCCATACACTTATAAAAGGATGTTTTTAAGTTCTGGTGGTACTACGAACGATGTAAGCGATAGAACTGATCACTTGCTGAGCAAATTGAAAACTATTTCTTTTCTCTCTTTGAGTTCTCAGCTGAGGCAAAGGCAAATGTTGGGGCAAAGTCATTCTAAATGTGTGTTGGTTGAAGCTTCCATAATTTGTT